GGCGAGAGGCTACCGACCAATACACGGATTATTGTTGGAATGAGCTGTTTGCTTGGGGAGGTGGAGCTGTGATGGACGGAGCGGCGGATCAGATAGGCGTCTGACCGGTCTGGTCCAAGCAGATCCCTGAAGGTGCCGGTCGTTTGAGCGGAGCTCTGGGGTGGGTCTCATGACCACAAGACAGGAAGTGAACAGAAACTAATGTTGCGAAACTGGCTGAACGGGGAAACTAATGTATGGGACCAGTAGGAGAAACCGACCGAGCGGGCATGGCTAATGTTGCGAAGGTGGGGAAACAGGAGGTATGGGAAGCATCGGTGGCATATTTGGTGCTTAGATTTATTGACGGCCTTGCCTGACGGAACTGGGTGGCGTGGTACGGGCGCTTAGTACCACACCTGACAGTCATGCTGCGTGAAGTGCACACGTGTCCGAACGGAAGCCCGAGCAGTGTTTCACCGCGGGGTGCCGGTGCGTGCAAATGCAGGCGCAGCTCAGCGGCTGCGACAAGTCTTATTTGGCCGTATGCGTGCCCGGGCACCAAAGCATCGCGAAATGCAGCATCGATTGCGTGCTGGTGAAACTCATCGGTAGTTTTGCACTGACAAGCTGCGCGGGAGCCGGGTATCAGTGGCCCCACGCGAGCTGCTGTTGTCGCCCCGGCCGCTGCGCTCTTGCGGCGCTAGCGTCGCCGTCGGCTTGACTTGGGGGCAGCGCGCCGGTGGTGTCAGACCGTGGAGTGCCGCCGACGGGTTGGGGTGCGGTGGACCGGCGGCCGGTAGTCATGGAAACGTGTTGAGTCGCACGACGCGGGTGGATTAGCGCTCGTGATCGATTGGTGGACGGGGGTTCTCGTGAGCGTTGGACCGGCCGACAGGTAAGTCGGAGGCGTGCTGGCGCGTGCTGAGCTTCTGGCGCAGTGACATTTGGGTGATGCGTGTTCTGGCATGAGGTATCGCACATTATATGTGGTCGTGCCGGCTATTGGTCTTCCCTGCTGTTTGGAGGTGGTTAGCGTGGTAGAGATCACGTTACTACATGATCATCATCGGAGCCTACAGACCCTATGCCAGCGGCGTGGTGCCGTCCTCACTGTCCATCATGTCATTATATCATGTCCGTGCCTCATCGAAGACGACGACGTCACTTTGGTTCACAGGCTTCGACCCTGACGATTAACGATGTGCTTGGTGACAGTTCCTCCTTTCTTGATCCCAAACAGCTCTTTTCGTTTTTAAAGGATATTGATTTTGAAGTCATTTTCACACCGTACTAATTAAGTAACAGCATAGTTATGGGCGCAAAATGACCACTGCAGTCGACGCGCCCGAAAACTCCAATGAACAACAACAACAACATAATCATCATCACCACATTGTACGAGATCGTTAGCGTAGGGGAGATCACGAACTGGAATGATCAGTTCGGGACGTACCGACCACAGAGATGCGGCCCCGTAAATTGACGGGTTGGCAGGTGCAATCTGAGGGTGGTGAGTTGGCTGACCCTTCGCTCGATGAGTTATCGGAAGCGATCGTGGGCGGCCGGCCGGGCATAACGAGAGTATGATGTGACTGGTGTTGACCCGGCGCCTGGCTTTGGAGAGATCTCTGCTGTGGTTGGACTGGCTCGATTGCGTGGAGTCGTCTGAGCTCTGCCGGTGTCTCCCCTCGTGTTGCATTGTGCCTCTATCATGACGCTCTACACTCAACGCCAGCCTGACGCCCTGTGCTAGTATTAAGTCTCCCGGTATGTGTCCAGGGCTCTACCCTGCCAGCTTTGCGCCTTGTCGCCGCTGCGCGGTCTCTAACAAGGCTCAGTGGTGGGCCGACATGCGTCGCTATGCCTGACTGCAGCCTCGTAGTACTAGGGCACCAACGAATACCGCTGGCGCAATGTATTGGCCGCTTTGTGATGGGATATTTTCATTCTCAACATGTCATTGTTTCCATGAATATGCCATCACTGTCCAAGCGTGACTGGCAACTGGGGCGTTCCCCGCCAATCCCATTATTTTCCGCCAGTCCGTGCGCCAGAGGTATCGTTCAATGTCAGTCGGTTTTGCAATTGCGCCGACCGCCAACGAAAACATTTACGCCGCGTTCTAACGATGAATGCTCAAAGAGGGGAGTTTCCCATCGTCATTATCTGGCCGCCTTATGTGGAGCATGAGGCGCGGCGCCGGTGTCTGCGCCTTCCACCTGTTGGGGTCTCAGCGGCAGTGGTGCACGCGCCACCCGTTGTGTCCAGACGCACCCGCCGTGGCCATCGTGGAACCGTCAGAAAGAGGAACCATCAAAACGTCCCAGGATCGCAGGGGGTTCAGTGTTCATTCAGAAATATCGCCACGGGCCGCTCTGCTGTGGAGTATGTTGACGCAGCATACGCGGGGTCGTGGTGTTGCGTGTCGCTGTCGTTGGTACGCTTCTGCGTAATTAAGCCGACAGTAGACAGCAGTGCCATGCAATGTCCTCGTGCGGGCTGTCCAATGGCAAGACACCATCAAACGATCCCTACGGCATGACGCAACCTTGCTCAGCTTGTGAGGCTGATCAGCCGTTGCTGGCGGGGGTGTGCGACCCTAGTCCTTTAACCGGCCCAGTGTGAGGGCATTGACATTTGGAAAGAGCGCGCTGTCTCTAATGTCGCCCAGGATTGATGCGTGTTGGAATCGTTGACCTTTCAGAACAGCTAGTGAAAATGTTGGATATCAGCAGATGCGTAACTAGTTCCCTGTGCATCTCCAGCCTCCCTGTTATCTACCCTCACAGTGACGACAAGGAATCTCTAGGGTCTAGTTCAACGCTAGCCCCGGCTGTGCAGTGTGTCGGGATGCATTTTTCTATTACGACCATCCCAGTTGTCCCTATGCAAAAGCTGCCGCGGCACAAATGGCAGGTACACCTTACCTGCTCATAAACTTGTTCCTGCGCCAGCGTTTGCGAGCCCTCGCGATGGCTTCGGTGTCCGTCCTGAAACACCCCCGCCGCCGCCGCCGCCACCGCCGCCGCCTCTCCGTCCCCGTCCCCAGCCCTCCGGGCGCTTCCCCCCCCCTCCCCCCCCCCTCCCCTCTGCCGCGCCTGGTCACGGTCTACATCCGCAGTCTGCGCCGCCCGCGAGCGGCACCGCCGCCTGGCCGACACGCCCAGAGAGATTCCGCCGAGCCAGGTGAAACTGCAAGTGCCGTACAACGGCTTGCCCGACGGGCGGCGAGCGCCGAGAGCGGCTGCCGACAGCCGCGGGCTGCCGGCGGCCCGTGGGCGTGGGAAGGTCTGGTCCGGTGCTGGTGGCCTGCGCAATGAAAGCGCCGCGTGCTGGGAAGGTCACGCGCCATTGGGCTTAGTACGGAGATCATGGGCTGGCTGAGATGCTTTCGATGCGACAGTCGCCAGCCAATCGGCATGTTTGTGGCTTCGTTTCGATTGACGCTTGCGTGATTGGTTCGGTGCTGAAACCCGAACGTGTCTCCGGGCGAAAGCACGTACATTCATTCATTGAAAACATTTTGCGTCAAGCCATAACGGCCTGAAATCAGCCACGGCACGCTTCTCAAACCATCAACGCACCTCCAGTCCGCGGCTCCGACAGTGCCCGCACGTTCGGCCGCAGTGTCGCTCCCGTGCTGAGTCCGGCGGCCGGGCGGACCGTCGGCCAACAGGCGCGGCCGCGGGCGGCGTGACCCGCCGTGACCTGGCCGTGACGGCGCGCCGCCGGGCGCGTGACACCTCTCCGGGGGCGGCGGGTTGTGACAGCGCGTGACACTCGGCGCTCCTGATGAAACGCTGTCCGGGTAAACTGGCGACGCGCGGCCAAAATGGCACCCGCCGGCCTCGCAGAGCAGTGGGCGGTGCGTGGAACGGTCGCGGCAAACGGCCGTGACAGTGCGGTTTGGATTGCTGTTGGCTCCGGCGATTGCAGAGAGATCACGTAACTTGTTATGCGGGCTGGGAGAAGGCTGGAGATCCTTCCAGGTGCGCAAGCAACTGACGGTGACGACCAGAGCTAGAGGGGTGCCGGTAGTGTAGTGGTTAACGCGTCTGCGTAAACCACTGCACGTCTGGGAAACCAGAGGTACGGGGTTTGATTCCCAGCGGTACCCACCTTTCCTGCCAGGGTGAGAGGCAGGCGGCGCCATATAGCCTCAGCAACTGAGTGCGTCGTAAAGCCCCAATGACACGACACCAGAGCTAGAGCAACAGGCGGAATATTGAATAGCTATGACGTCCGTCACTGTCCACACTTAAGCCGTGGCAGCGAGTCATTTCATGGTCGTGCAAATATCCGCACTTTGTGCCCGAATCGTCACGAATCATGCGGTACTTAAATGCAACAGCGTCCCTTCCTTCACGTGAACCTGGACATATGGCCTCGTTCGGTTCCTTGATGTTGATTATAGGTTCTCTTGCGAGAGTAACCAATGGTAGCCCTCCCCCGCCCCACATCAGGTCTTCCATTTATGGTCATAGTTCTTACCGTCCGCAGGTTATAGTTTCTGATAACGAGAAGCGCTTACTCTCAAGGTTGTATGGCTGGAAACTGGTGGTTGGAAAGAATCTCCTGCTGTTTAGATGGCCCACGTATCTCGCCGCATACGTGCATATACCAGCGTGAGTCCGATTCAGTGAAGTCCAGTCCGGGCAACAAAACACAGAAAGAGGACGGGGTTTAATTCAGTTGTTTACACCCCGCCAATGGTGAACTACAGGTCATACTGAATTTTCCAAGACACATGTGCACTCACATATACAAAGGGACATATCATGTGCATTAAACAATTTGACAGCGCCCCACGGGAAGGAGGCGTCATTCGCACTGGAGGGTTCAGCAATGATTTAAGCGCGACGCCTCAGCAGCCAGACACAACCGATCGGCGTCGGGGCCCACGCTGCTCAGAGCGCGGGCTCTCCGCCGTTGAGAGCGCGAGCCCTCCGCCGTTGAGAACTAGGATCCTTCGATGTTCAGGGGGTCCTCGCGTAAAGGTCCTCCGCCGCTCAGAACTCAGGTCCTCCGCCGTTCAGAGTTATGACCCCCCGGCGTTCAGAGCGAGCACCCTCTGCCGTTAAGAGCTAGGACCCTCCGCTGTTCAGAGCACAGGACCTCCGCCTTTCAGAGCGAGTACCCCCGTCATTCAGAGCGAGCACCCTCCGCCGTTCAGAGCTAGGACCCTCCGCTGTTCAGAGCACTGGTCCTCCGCCGTTCAGAGCTATGCCCCCCCCCCGCCGTTCAGAGCGAGGACCCACTGCCGTTCGGAGCGAATACCCTCCACCGTTCAGAGCGAGCACCCTCTGCCGTTAATAGTTAGGACCCCCCGCTGTTCAGAGCACAGGTCCTCCGTCGTTCAGAGCGAGGATCCTCGCCGCTCAGAGCGAGGACCCTCATGCTGGGAGAGGGAAGCTGCTGACTCTGACCTCGGACCTCTGACCTTGCCGCTGGACGTCTGGTCCACGTACGTCTCCAGGCCGATCGTGGCGGCACTCTGAAGCTCGACTAGCGCTTGCGGATCCGGCCGGAACTGGTCGGTGGTGGCGAACAGCGCCCAGGTGTTGGTGCTGCGGCACACCACCACCGTGGTCACGAGTGTCACCAGAGGCGGCGTTGAGACCGCCACCCAGCTCAGCGCCATCAACCAGTGCGAGCCGGGGCGCACGGGCGGCAGCTGGAAGTGCGTTATCATGTACAGCATCTGGAAGACGGTGATGAAGGGCGTGATGACGAGCCAGCTGACGACGAAGAAGCGTCCGAGGTTGCGGCCGAGCGGCTGATGCAGGAGCTCCCTGGTCTCGGTCAGGAATGCCGGCTTCGAGAGCTTCTGACCGAGCACCATGGCGATCAGCATGTTGCATACGATCCACTGCAGCTGGAAGAGCGAGAAGCAGGACCATTCGGAGCCAAACCAGGTGCCGAGGCCGACAACCGCGCCGAGGAGCAGCGCTGGCGAGTAGGCCGTCAGCGCCGCCAGCGGGAACGCCAAGTGCCCGAAGAACGGCACCGCGTCCACCAGGCTCAGGCCCAGGGCGATGACGACCATGGCGACCGAGCCCACCGTCTGCCCCAGCATCGTGCCGAAGTAAATGACGCCCCAGAAGCGCTGGTGTGGCATCATCTCGACGACGGTGGTGAAGGCGACGAACGTAAGCGCCTGCGGGTCGTCGTCCAGCTCCAGCAGCTCCCCGTACATGAACGCGGAGCGGACCTCGAGAGTGCCGCGCACAGAGAACAGCACCATGCTGTTGAGGACGCCGAACGCCAAATCAGAGAACACGACGATGACGGAGCTGAGCAGTGCGTTGTGGCGCAGCCGGTTGCGCGAGCTCAGCGCGGGGTTCAGGCCCCCGCCTATGTTGACGCTCCAGTACGTCATGCTGATGGCATCGACCCAGCAGTTGAGGTCGATGAGGGTGGCGAGGTGCGCGCGCCCGTAGAAGAAGTTGGCGATGCCGGCCCAGGAGCCGGGGAAGATCAACACACGGCACAGAAGGAGCAGGACCACGACCGGGCTGAGCAGCACCAGCAGCACCGCGACCCACGAGGAGAGCCAGACGCTGAAGCAGGGCAGCAACGCGAGCAGCCAAGCGAGCAGGTAGCTGCGCGTGAAGACGGCGCGCCGGTGCTCCTTGAGGCCCGCGCGAGTGTGGTTGCTCGGTCTGTCGCGCACGAAGTAGTAGAAGAAATCACGCTGCGAGATCAGACGGCGGCCGACGTGACCGACGGGCGTCGCCTGACCAGCAACGGGCCAGTCGTCGGTGACGTTGGTCTGGTAGGTCCCCTGCTGGTCCATGAGCCAGCGTGGAGCGGGCGTAGGCCGCTGCGGCTTGTTAAAGCAGTGCGTGCCGTTGGAGTTGGCGAAGCCGTGGTAGGCACAGAATTGGCCGGGCGACCTGCACCGGAAGTCAAAGTAGATGGAGTAGTTGGACGTCCTGGTGCACTCGCTCTGAAGCGCCTGGGTGTAGCAGTATTTCGAGTTGTACGATGGGCTGCACGTGCGCCAGGGTATCGTGTTTTGGGCCGAGTAGATCGTGTACACGACAATCCAGGCACAATTCTGCATGATGTACACAGTGGTGAACATAGTAACGATAAGTGTCGCGTAACCGAGACCGCGAAAGATCGGTGCCAGTTGAGGCAGGAATGAAGTCATGCTCTTGGCTGCGTATTGGCCAGCAATGCACTCAAGAATGTGTATGGGCAGCGATGACAGACAGAGCACAAGCATTACGGGCACGTAGTACATTAGCCCTCCGTAATGCCATGCCAGCTGCGGTCCAAATATGTAGTCAGTGCTCCCCATGGTGAGCAACAGCTTCACACAAACGCTATGCAGAGGTGACGGCAAACTGCGTTGGCTGAGCTCGGTTCCTGTTCCTCACCGTGCGTGCTTCGAATTTTATTGCTGAGGGTAGGCATTCTGCAGTATTTTCCGCAGCAGATGCGTTTGACTCTGTCATGGTTGCCCACGCTCGCTTCGCTCTGAGCATTGTCATCATCTGACCATGAGCCTTGCGTCGGGAGAATTTCCGGAACATCTCGTGCTTCCTCATCTGCCTCTTCTGGGTGCACATCTGGATTCACTACCACCAATATCTTTGAAGCAAGAAGGTCATCGGTTGTTTCATCACCCCCACTGTTTGCGCCCGCAGCTTGTTTTTTGTTAAGCCTCGGAAAGACAGTATGGACCTCTTCACCGGTCATGTCAGCGGACTTTTCTCCAGTTTCTTTTTGCATTATGATTTTTGTCTCCACTACGACCCGCACAGATCTTACAGCAAAAATGTGGCGAAGCGCTAGAAAGCAGAGCACTCAAACGCTTTAAACACGCATACAATGTGTGCTAGGACAAATTGTTTTTGATAAGAGCTTTACCTCAAGGCTGCCATGCTTATGCTGTTCGTATTTCACGCACTTTTCTGTTAGTATGGTTTCGCTTGGGTAAAACGCTCAAGAAGAGGTACGTAGGGCGTTGAGGAAGAGGTTTGTTTACCACGAAATATGATTCGAAAAATGGCGTGTGCCTGTCTGTTTTATTCACGTGCCTTGTATGCCATCTGCTTCTGCAGCTTTAGGTATCTACGCATGGCGATAAACGTAGCCGCATTGTCACAAAATCCAAATAGAGCATCGATTTCTGAACCTTCCCACCAAAGTTCACATGTCTTTACTTGGTTGGTAATTATTGGAAATTATTAACCTTACGTGTGAATGTGTTTTTTTCACGGACTAGTCCATGCGAAGTAATCTCGAATCACAGGCACTGAACGAAATTAATGGTTTGTGTATCAGAGTGCAGAATTGTTTTGCTGTCAGTTATCGCCATTCAGTATACCAGGAGGCACCGGCATATTTCCAATGCCTCTTGTACATTGAAGGGCGATGACTGTCAGCATAAGAGCTCTGAACTCATCATACCGAAAAATCAAGAGCTCGTCACCTGGCTTTATGAATGACATTCCTTTTTGTGCGTGAGTTTACAGTGGTAGGAAACCCGGACAGTACGTACAGTGGCATTCTAATGCATTGACTATCGGGGTCAATGCGCTTTATAAAATGTGTCAAACAACTGGCATTGACCTCTCACCGGCGCAAACTTATTTTTGGCCTTGGTTTCCGTAGATATTTGAGGACTTTGTCTGGCCTCGTGCCTAAATATTTCTGAAGCCTTTGGAAAATTAGCTTTTTTACAAGCCCCATGGAGGCACAGTACAGCGTTGAAACCCTGACGTCATTCCGCTTCCAGCTGAAACCGAATGTCCCTCTGGTATGAAAATCCAACTCTTTAAGATGACAGCATGCCCAAGTGGTGGGTGTCCTGAGTACTTAAAAAAGTGAAGCACATTTAAAGCACCCGCAACGTTGACTATTGTCATTTAGGCTCACATGCTGCCAATGCTTCCGCTGCTTCACGCTTGTCGCCAAGCGTTAGAATGAACCACATATAGACTCTTGCAGGCTTTCCATGCCTTGTCAACATGTGGTGGCAAAATGGCCTGCCTGTCTCTGCAGTGTCACATATTACTAACGAGGGTATTTGCAGCATTTCATTGTTACGGGATTTTTAAAATTAGTTCCAACGTTTTTGCCCATGCAAGTTTTTACAATGCAAGACAGGGACCGAAATCCAAAATGCTGGTGAGAATTCAAGACAGCATTGAAATCCAAACCGATTTGAATAACAGGCGGGATCAGCGATGTGTTTCTGCACGCCTTACATCCTTCATTGACTGGGATGATCTAATCCTACCAGCGCTCAATGTCGTTACCGCGTGAGAGAGCTTCCATAGAACTACGCGTTCAAAAGAACCGAGTCGTATTTAATTACACTTACACTCGATTCGTCCACAAAAGCAAGTATCGTGGCCTTTTCTTGCGTACGCGATGGTGAATGACGCATATAAATATGTTGGCATATGATACGGAAATCCATTCTGAACTAACGGCGTCACTGAAGCACACCATTGGAGGTACGAAAGGAAACCAGAGTGAATGCAGGTAGAAGCAAATCGCTGTGGACTTGCTAGCAAATGTCTTGCATGATGTAACAGCGAGAGTGAATAACGAGTTGTGAACGATGGTTATATTAGCACAATTTTCCACTTGGTGATTGTGCAGCAAACTAACAGTATGTGACATAGCAGAGCAAGTTGAAATATTGTTAATATTGCTTTAAGAAATTGAACACATCAAATCGTGTGCCACAAGATGGGAACATGTCCCTGTACGTAATTTCGAACGCAGTCAGTCCTGCCGCAGCAAAAGTTTATATCCACAATCATCTATCACATCATTAGTCACAACTAATGGCAATGTGTATGATGATATAGTCTTTAAGTCAATATTTTATAATGGAGTGCCCTACCTGCAGTCCAATAACTAGTCAGCTGTGCTGCACTGCTGCCACAGCAGTATCCACAACCTGAACGCCTGACCACTCGCTTATGCACACATTTATCTGTTTTCAGTTGCTAGTCGATGAGCGATGATTTAATCGCCAATGCTTGCTGATGTTACCAGCTTGCCACGTTTACCTTCCCGGGGTAAAGCGCAGTATTTTGTACCATAACTGACCGCCGTAACATGTGCCACGTTTGTGTGCGACAACTGCGCACAAGGTTTTGTTTCGCGCCAGGGCAGTTGGCGTCACCGCCCCGCCGAACCGATACGCGTTCCGGAGACGCCCCCTGTCTGATGACCTCGCGCGCAGATCGGGCAGATCGGGTGGCCACTGACCGATGGCTGGACCAATGCCAAGGTTGGGTGACAGGGGGGGGGGGGGGGGGGGGGGGGGTCTGACTGCGGCGTGAAGCCCTGGGCCGCATGACGGGGAAGGCAGGGTTCGGAGTTTTCGCCGGCTTTGGTCCGGGACTTCGTGTCTGATGTGTAGGACAGGTGTTTGACATAACACTACTCACGCGCGTTTTGGTATGATGGCAGACAAATGTGTCACACGCTTGGAGAACACAGCCTTATCTCGTATAACATCTAGGGTTTTCGTGCTGCAGCATGGTCTCTTGCCTCTGGCCTTCCGCACAATACCTATGATGAATGACTGCGGCTTCTCCGTGCATCGGCGAGTGATCTGAACCCCTCCACCGATGGCGTGCCGAGCCGTCCCGACCCTGGGCCGTGGTCTTCGGAGCCTGGTTCGGTCCGCCGGTGTAGCCGCGGCCCGCGAATTGGTTAATCGCCTGACTGGGAGCTCTGACCGACGACGGCTGCTGGTCGTCACGCAGGCGCGACGGTCGGTTCGGCCTCGCTGGACATGCCCCGGGCGCGCCGGACCGTGACCACAGTGGTCCCCGTCGGTCCGCGGTGGGAGGTGGTCCCCGCTGGTCCGCGGTGGGAGGTGGTCCCCGCCGGTCCGCGGAGGAAGGTGGTCCCCGCTGGTCCGCGGCGGGAGGTGGTCCCCGCCGGTCCGCGGATGAAGGTGGTCCCCGCCGGTCCATGGCGGAAGGTGGTCCCCGCTGGTCCGTGGCGGGAGGTGGTCCCCGCTGGTCTGCGGCGGGAGGTGGTCCCCGCCGGTCCGCGGCGGGAGGTGGTCTCCGCCGGTCCGTGGCGGAAGGTGGTCCCCGCTGGTCCATGTCGGGAGGTGGTCCCCGCTGATCCGCGGCGGCAGGTGGTCCCCGCTGGTCCGCGGAGGAAGGTGATCCCCGCCGGTCCGCGGAGGAAGGTGGTCCGTCCCCGCCGGTCCGTGGCGGAAGGTGGTCCCCGCTGGTCCGTGTCGGGCTGACTCTTGCGAGTTCAGCTGATTTTTGCTGTGTTTTAGTGAGCCGCTATCCTAAAAATACCTGTCGTGAACTCAAGACTGCTGTAATCTGAGCATGTAACTTCCACGAGGAACACTCGGTGCTCTCGCGCATCGCGTGCCACATCTGAGCTAATTTATCAGACAGGTTGGACTGGTAGCCGTCGTGCCGGCAGCATGTGCCGCAGGAGGCAGACACGAAGCTAAGTAATCGGACCAAAATTATCTAATCAGGAATGGAGGGCGTGACACGTGTCTTTGAACCTCCATGAGATAGAGTCGACCGCGCCCAGCGAGCTTACAATGACTGTTTTTGTTCATGGCGTGCCGTAAGGTAAGAGCGATTCACGAAGTTTTTCTCGGAGCTTACAACAAAGCGCTGTTTGTGGTCATCGTCGCTCCCTGACTGGCTCTGGGCTTTCAACGGTGCATGGCAAATTTCGTCGCACATTGGCGAGTGTCTGCAGTCTACAGAGCAACACTGTCGCATACTGTTGCTTAAGTGTTTTAAGGAGCATCAAATATGAATGCGAGAGCAAAATGTATGAAGCATTGGTAATGTGAGAGCACGACACATTTAACCGCTGGCATTCGCATGACAGGGCATATATTAGTTATATAGGCAGCAGGTTCCATCCAGGATTGACTTTTATGACGGTAATGACCGACAGAGATAGGGATAAAAAACTGCCCGACCGAACTAGTAATAAAGTGGTATGCTCTAAGAAATGCAATAAATCCATTGCATGCCGACAAATCCTTGAATTGATGACGAAAGCTCTAGAAAATGTCAGTAGTTAAGATCATATCAGTTACTGTGTACCGCATGCACCGACATTGCAAACGCCACGATTCATTCAGTCTACATTGGCATTCACTATATGCAGTGAACAACATCAGTACATAATTATCCATGCTGCGTTCATGCATTGTCGCCCATGACCTCACTTAGCCGTTTCACTCTCAGTAGCCCTTCAGTGGGGAAGGGTGCACAAGGTGCACTGGGAGCGCGTACATTTCTTGATTTTTAGACATGGAAGGCAGGCAGCGGAGGGGTTGAAGTCACCCGCATGATGCTAAGCTATTTTTACTCGTTTCTATCACGCTGAAATCATTCGGGGCCTGTCGTCGTCTTTGCAACCCGGTCAATGGTGTGGTGCTCTGCAATTTCTCCCCTCTCAGGGTTCCCTTGAGGGCCCCAGGGAAGGGGATCATGGCCCCTCATGACTCCTTCACTGGACCCGTCTGTGTGTTGCCACGAAAGCGTCAAATATTTGACATCATTTTGAGCTATTTTGCTTTGTCGTACCTATCGGCTTCCCCAACGATAGCAAATTTCTGATTGAATAAGCTCCACATAACGGGTGTTTTGCTGCCATTTCAAACTAATAGTCTGGTCACTAATTAAGCTCTTTTCACACCTTTTCAGGCACTTACTTTCTCTGTCGCTTACAAGTGAAACTAACGTTCTCAAAGAACGTGGGAAATGCGGCACACTTCACGTCTAATTAGCTGCGAGCCACAGCTTAACACATCCGTCTTTGTCTCATGACATTCCACGGCAT